CTTCATGTCTGCTACTAGCATGTGCTAAATGAAAATGGGCGCCTTCTTCTTCTTCTTCTTCTTCTTCTTCTTCTTCTTCTTCTTCTTCTTCTTTAGATTTCAACAGCAGTTTGCATCCATTATTGTTGCACTACTGCCATCTACTGGATCCTAATATCTATACCTCAAACTCTCATAATTATCCCAGTATTAAAAACCCGAAAAACTTTTTCCCCTCAATGCTATTTAACTGATCAACAACATTCTCAAATTTCAATTTCCTATTAAAACCTAATTCTGTTTTAATGGGCGCTTTCTTCTTTTATTTCCAATTTTGACTTCCAACGATTCACTTCCTGCTGTATGGAGAGCCCCCTGGTGGTTGAAGAAAAATCCACATATAAGCGGCTTATAGTCCGGAAAATACGGTATATGAAAAAAATCTAAACGCTCTAGGGTTTCCGTAATTATGTTTAATGAGTTAGTTGTATTGCTTCTGATCATGTATAAAAGCAACATTCTTACAGATGTTCTACTATAAAAAATCAACTTTTTTGAACTTCTTATCATGTATTGTATTATTCCATCATCCAAAACTCTGTTTCACATGTTTAGTTCTGAAGAAATTATGTGTGTGTGGAGGTACCCTTATGTAGATAAGCTGCACTGCATAAGGTATTTGAGATATGTGCACTGCAGTTATTGCAACAGCAGTGATTGGATTTTAAACTCACCTGCGATTGTCAGTAAAAATAAATGCTGCCTTTAATATTGACTTCGAATGCTGCTCTCATCTCTGACCAAGAATCTCCTTTAGTTCAATTTTCGCTTAGGGTTATCTGTTTTGGAGAACTGCACAATTTGCGCTGTGTTGCTAATCTTTGTCTTCTTTTTTTTGCAATAAAGTGAATGACCTTGGGGTAGACACAAAAGGAGGTGGAAGAAGTTCTGCAGCTGCCGATAAGGTGGTGGAGGAGATAAGAGTAAAGGGGGGCAAAGCTGTGGCAAACTATGGTGAGAAACATGGACTTCCCTCTATTAAATGTAGTATGTTGTTTATTTGATAGCAGATAGAAAAACTGTATGACTCATTTTCCAGCTTGTCCCTCTAACTGATGAGTTTGTTAGCGAGTTCTGATAATGATAGAACCCCATATTATTTTATTTGTGCTTCTTCAATGTGAAAAAATAAATCTTGTACAGAAAACAAGGCTTCCATGTGTCTACTAGTATTTTTTTTAAATGTCAGATTTGTTGTAGGGTGACTAATCAGCTAACTAAATGCCATATTGTTGCTTTTGTAGTCAAAAATAGAGTATAGTTAAGCTTTTTCTGTTTGTTTTTGTTATGTATTTTTGAACTCTTCCTTTTTTTTCTCTTTGAAAATGCAATCAGAAACAGTGGAGCCGAGATTTAGATCTAAACTAATATAATCAAGTCTTAAAATCCTCTATATTTTCTTTTGTGTAAATAGATTCTGTTGAAGATGGAGAGAAGCTGATCCAAAGTGCCCTTGATGCCTTTGGAAGAATTGGTTTGTATTTAATTTTTGAAAGCTGTAATCAGTAAATGATATTTAGTGGTGGTTTTTCTAGATTGTATTTTGATAATATTCTTCTTTTTCAGATATTGTTGTGAACAATGCTGGGTAAGTTATTCTCCAGTTAAAATTATGAGGATCCTCTGGTATTAGAACACAGTTATTACAGTAATTAAAGTGTGGACCATTATAATAACGTGAAAGTGAATTTTAAGTTTTAGCTCTTACATTGTTATTCTTTTTGCCTTTGTTTACCCAGAATACTTCGTGACCGTTCATTTGCCAGAACCAGTGATTTGGACTGGGGTAAAGAGATTATTTGGATTAAAAAAACTGTTTATTTATTTACTTATTTATCAGAAACTCAAGTTATGAGTCAAGTCACCTGGATACAGATTTAAAAAAAGCATTTTTCTTATGGTTGTCATTTCAGACCTTATCCATAGAGTTCACTTAAGAGGGTCATTCTTGGTAACACGAGCTGCCTGGAACCACATGAAGAAACAAAATTTTGGCAGGTGAGGATCAAAGCAAGCAGCTGCCAGTTGACATTTATACTCAGGCTCAGGAGAATACAATTCTGGCTCAAAAAGGTTTGTAATGCGGTTATCGACATACGCATCTCACAAAATGTAAAAATCTTTAGGTTTTTCACAAATTCAGCTATAAAATCTCTATGTAGATTTGTTGTTACATGTACATAAAACAACTGACTGTTTACAAGAAGTGAAAACTGTGGAAACAACAGAGTTATAAAGATTTATTTAGTTTGTTGGGATCAGTGATGGTCAAGGAGTCTCAGAGGAAGGACCTATGAGAACGCTCTTTTGTGCATCTGGGATGCAGCAATCTGCCACTGAAGGAGCTCTACTATAAATATAGTCTTATTTGCTCTACTCTAAATAGAGAAGAGCAAATAAGAAAAAAAAATTGTAGGTTTTGGGTCTTTTTGTCTTCCTTTTTGATGAAGTATCAAATAGTATTTTGTGGAAAAGAAGAAAGAGGTGAACTCAAATGTTGCTGTTACCATGAGTGGCATATTTCTAGAGTTTATTATACTTGTTGTTATATGCTACAGGAAAAGTACTTTGTATTGATTTGTGTTTTTTAACACACCATGCCCTTTATGTTGCAATAAATGCATCTAGTTGGACATCTAATTATGTTGTGTGTTATGATCTTTTCTTTTATAAGACACTTTGAATTCCCTTGCACAACTAATGGCCACTGAAGAGTAATAAATGTTAATTACACCTGCACTGATGTATAGAAATGCATCTAGCAGTGACAGGTCTATTTAGATGTGGCTGTTTTGGATTATAATTAGCGGAGGAAGGTTGTTAGCTTAAAGTAGGAGGCAGTTGCCTTTCATGGGTTCATAGAAGCTGCTCTGCTTGAAATGGAATATTACATTTTAAACACTGACTCAACTTTTTTTGCAGAAACTTTCTTTGCACTGCAGCATGCTGCTGTTGACCAAGTCTAGCAGAAAGCAGTTGAAAATGGTTGTGCGAGTTTTAAATCAATACGCTGACAAATGCTATTACGGTGTTTTTCTTAATAGAGACAGAAATCATTTTAAATTCTCTTTTGTTTGTCTATATGTTTTCCATTTCTCATGTTCAGGCCTGAAATTCAATCTTTGTGTGCAGCCACCCTAAGTAAAGAATTTATGGCGCATTTGAAAGAAAAGTCATATCGAGGAGACATAAAAAGAAAAGGCGAAATGTCAGTCACCTGACTCTCCAGTTCTGTCTCTCTGATGGCGTGGAGAAATACTGTCACTGAACAGCTTTATCCTCTCTACCAGCTATCTGATGCAGCATTTTCTCGGTGTTGCTCTGTAAATGCCAAAAGATTTGTGCTCCATGTCCTTTGTGCATAATAGCTATTGATGTGAAAAGCATTTTGTCATTGCCAGTCCCTTGGAGATTGTATTGTTGTAGACTGTATGCTATGGATCACTACTTGTTTTATAAGCAGTGAGGTTTTGCAGATGTCTCCTGCAGTTAATGTGGCATTGATGCTTAACCTTTTTACTTCTTCTCAACTGAGTTGAACCGCCTGCACGAGATTGTGCGCACAAGTAATATCCTGTGGGTTTGATGTATAAACATCCCTGAGCTCCTAAATATGGATTGGATACTCTCACGGTTGCTGAAGAGAACATATTCTTTATTTGCAATGACTAGGCGCTTAAAGATTCTCGGCATGCATGGAAAGTATCTTTCCTGTGAGATTGTGTGTGGGTTGTTGCTGTCTCCTGCTCCTGCACAGCGATTTCTGTCATAGTGCTTTAACTCGGCCTTGTCTTCTGTGACCAGAATCATCATGACTGCGTCAGCTGCGGGCATTTATGGTAACTTCGGCCAGGCCAACTACAGCGCTGCCAAGTTAGGCCTGCTGGGGCTGGCTAACACTTTGGCCATCGAGGGACGCAAGTACAACATCCACTGCAACACAATCGCTCCTGTGGCGGGGTCCCGCCTCACGGAGACCGTCATGCCGCCAGGTAATCAGAGATGACATCGTTACACTGAATTGGTCAACATAAGGAAAATAGATCTAAACCACATTCTTTTCTCTTTTTGAACATGTTAGCATATGTCAACAAAATGCTTACTTTAGTTTTATCTTCTATATTCTGTTTTCTGTGCTGTGGTGAAATCCGTTTTTATCATCTTTATTAGTTTTTACTTACCTGCATGTGGTTTTATTAGGCAGTTGTAGTCTCAGGTTTTGTCACCAAGGTTTCTATGGATATGGACGAAACGTTGGCTGAAAGATGCATCACGATTTCATATCAGTTGACATCGATAGTTATTGATTTTGAGTTTTTTTGTTTTTATTTTTTTGTTCCTGCCAAACTAGTGACGTGACCTTTCCTGTTTTTTTCCCCCCACAATTTTCACTCTAATTGTTTTTTATTTTTAAGCAGATAAGAGGTATGATGGCGAAACCTTAAACTGCTCCTGCACGTTACTCAGCAGACTGTTGCTAAGTAACCAAAGAGTTACCTAGTAACCAAAGAGTTACCTAGTAACCAAAGAGTGAGTGAGTTAGTTGATGCCAACAACCTTGATTAGTTGACCAGGAGAGGTTGAGCAGCTAAAGCCTTTAATGCCTGTAATATCTACTTCACAGAAATGATGGTAAAGCATCGGTAATCCACAATAATATGAAATAAAGCTCGGGCAGCTTTTATAGTACGCCTCAATACATATGAATCATTAAAAGTTAATTTATTTTAGTCAAGAAAGTATATTGTGCATATATTCAGTTCAGAAAAAGCAATACATTCCTCTTATTTTCTTGCCTTTGATAGCTTACAGCTCAGGAAAATTACTACATAAGTCCAACAAAAAAAAAAAAAAACTCTTAAGATTAAATTCAAATATGTCTTGTGCGCCCTTTTCTTCTTTCCACTTAATTTTCCATTTGTTTGCTTAATGCTCAGATGCAGCTTCTTTAGAAATGGCCTTTTGTGCCTCACTCTGTTTGTCAGTGGTCTCAAACTGCAGTCCTCAAGGGTTGACGTCCTGCAACTTTTAGGCGTCTCTCTGTTTCAGCACACCTGGCTCCAATATGAGTTAATCAGCAGTCATCTGCAGAGTTTGACTGCATGCATACTAGTGAGGCAGTTCAGCCATTTAATTTAAGTGTGCAGGACAAGGAGAACGTCTAAAAGTTGCAGGACACTGACCCTCTAGGAATGCAGTTTGAGGCCACTGCTCTATGCATTGTCTGTATTAAAAAATCATTTTTTGTTGCTTGTTTTTGTGCATGAAAAACAGAAGTTTGGGTTACCTTGAGCTGAAAGCCATAATAAAACTGAATTGTATAATAAAACTGAAATGTATTTTTCAATCATATCCAACTTTCTGAGATGAAATTTACATGCAGCCTAGTAAAACTACCCCCAAAACTAGTTATTTAACCAGTCAGTCAGTTAAAAACGAGACTCTGTGCTTGTGTTTTAGCATCATAAAGACCAGGACAATGGTGCTTGTAAATGCTTTTGGTTCACGGACATGCTCTGTGACTACAGCTCTGTTGACGCGGGGAATAAACAGGAATGGTTTTGTTGTCATGCCGTGCTTGTCTGCAGTAGCATCTGTCACGCTGTGCTGTGCCAACTGTCTCAGGATGGCCTCACCTTGGTAAATGACTTGGTTCCATATGTTCATGCTCACTGACTCAGACTTTTCTGAAAGACAAAGAACAGAACTCACCCTGGTGCAAACATGGTGAACGCAGCGAGGCAGAATTCCTCCTCTCTTATCACCAGGGGGCAGATATTTTAAGCACACATACTGTACGGCGTCTGAAAGTAAATATTTCATAGCTGATGAAGGGTATTAAAAGAGTTTGCTGTAATGGGCTTCTCACTTCTATATGAGTCGATTTTGAATGGAAAATTATTTCCTCTGGTTTTGTAGCTCATTCTGTTTATTTTTACTGTTAAAAATATTAACCTTAAAACAAAAGCAATCGGTCTTGTGGTGCATTCAGATCTGTTTGGAGAAGATACTAAAAAAAAAAAGAAACTCTAGATAACTGGTAAGTACCAAGAGTGTTCACATAAGGAGATGGTATACTCCACATAAAGATTAAAATGTATAGATGTAGCATCCATCTGTCCGTCTAGCCGTCCATCTCTCTATCTGTGGTTTATGCAGTGTGTAGTGCTAGTTGAGGAATAGTGGACTGTAATCGACTCTGCTCCGTATTAAATGTTTGTGTTTTGCGTCTTTAGACCTTGTGGCGTCTCTGAAGCCTGAGTACGTCGCCCCTCTGGTTCTCTGGCTCTGTCATGAACAATGCCAAGAAAATGGAGGACTGTTCGAGGTAAAATAACTGTCCTGCTGGACAGTGACGACCTTAAAAAGATAATTTTTCTCCTCTAAACTGAGTGTGTGATGGTTTATTCTCACGTTTCCTCTTCTTGCAGGCTGGCGCAGGCTGGATTGGTAAATGTGAGTTCTGTGCAGTTTTCCTGAAGAGATGTCTGCATGTGCTTGTAATATCCATTAGCTCCAGGCTCCTTTGTAATGTATGTGTTGGATTTTTACCGGGCGGTGACCTCCTTCCCCTCATTTGTGTGTATCTGCACGCGCAGTACGCTGGGAGCGAACTGAGGGCCGGATTGTGAGGCAGAGGAACAAACCTATGACTCCTGAGGGGGTCCGGGACCAGTGGGACGCGATCTGTGATTTTGAAAATGCCACCAAGCCAGCTAATGTACAAGGTCAGTGACACCTGAGGCCAATTATGTGCTCCATGCTGCAATATTTTTTTTTTTATTAATACACAAGTAGACTGTACTGTGAAGAACCATTTCCTTTTATACATTGTTTTTGTTCTTTCAGATCATTAAACTAATTTTAAAGGTGACCCATTGTACCAGTAATTACAGTTAATGGGCTTCAACAAAAACCAAGAAGTACTGTTAAAGGTCTCACAAAGAAAGGGAGAAAGTCAAGGTGAAAGCAATGTTCAGTCTGAACAAGTGCAATTTTCCTGGAAAGGTCTGATGGAAACAGAGAGGTTGTCCAACGCTGATTATTATTTCTCTCCGCCTCCTCCGGCCATCTCTGCTCTCTCACATGTTAAGTTGGGGGCAGTGGGGGCTGGTGTTAACCGAACGGGGGTGGTTTTCCCACAGGGTGTGAGCGGCTCTCATTAGCATGGCTTTGTTGTGCCTCCTCATTTGTAGCTTAATGCGAAGACTTGTTGCCGCCCGTGTTCGGTAACCACTCGCCACTGATTGATGGTAATGAGCGGCTTTAGTCTTCCCTCAGATTCTGCTTCCTCAGTTCTCTGGGATTGCCTTGTTGTGTTCATGTTGTATGCATAGGTATTTAAATCTTTACACTCCACTTTCAGACAACGTAAAGAAGGAACTAATAAGTATAACAATGAGAGATTTTTAGGATCTTTTTTGAAGCTACATCTAGACTGGTATCTTTAATTAAACTGTTGCTTGTGTGATTTCACAATCTTAAATTAGATGTAGAATTATTATTTCTCACAAGGACTACATGTTGGCTATTTAAAACCTACATTTGGATAAGTATGGAGTTTGAGCTTAAGTTTTAAATGATATTTTATGCTTGTTCTACAAGTTTTTTTTTACTTTTTTTTTAAACTATAACAGAAAATATTCCATATATCTTTTGCTAAAGGTATTTTTCTTGTAGTCAGAGTTGCAGTTGTATTACATTCATCACCACTGAAGCTCGTAGTTTCTTTCATGATTTAGTGATTGAGTCTGGTTGTTTCAACATAAAAAATCAGCTTGGTTCATTTAAAATATCTACATTTTACTGTTATCAAGTAAGTTGTTTCTTGCGAAACTCTGCAAAATGTGATTTCAGTTATGGTGATTTTTAGACAAGATTAATTAAATTCATTTCAAAAATACTTTGTTTATCCCGAAGGAAAATTAAACGTTGCAGTAACTCATATCATCCAAGAATCTTCAAGAAGTTGTTGTCGGAAATGCTGCAAGGATCTCCAGTAGCAGTCAGTCTTGCTGCCCGAAGAGGCCTCTGACTGAAGAGAGTGTTATTGAAATGCCATGAAGTTCTACCAGCTCAGGTTCTGGGCACTTTTCCACAGTAACATGTCCCTAAATACAACATCAGCTGTTAGCAAGCACTGCTAATTCACCTCAAAGTTCAGGTATATTTTGAGTGCTTAAGATGCTAATCAGTAAAAAAAAAAAAAAAAAAAAAAGAGCGAAAATACTTCCAGCTGCACAGAATCCAAAACCAGAGGGAAAAATTGTTCAAAAAAGCAACTCTTCAACCAAACAATGAAACTAGATGCATACCTTTTATTTTTAATTAAAAAAATTACCACATTAAGTCCTACCAGACAAGTTTTATTTATGTCTGGTGATTGATGGTAAGAGCTAATTGAGAAGATTAGTGCCACCTCTGCTCTTTTCTCTGTTTGTGAAATATACATCTTACATCAGCAGGTTTCTTTTCCAGTTGTGAAATATGGACGTTGTACGTTAGATCTTAATACAGAACAAGAGGATGCAGCTCATCATTATTAAAACTTTCTACGGTTTTAATGGTTCCGAGTTTCTTCTCCTGTTCTGTATTTTTCTTTCTTTCTGGTCTTGTTGCAGAGTCTCTGCATTCAGTTGTGAGTGTGCTGTCTCAAGTGGAGTCAGATGGAGAAGTTGGTGCAAATCCAGCAGCAGCTGCCGCCTCCGGAGCAACAGGATCAGGGTTTAATCCTGTAAGTTAAGATGCAATTTCTGCTCCGTTTTTCTTCAACACTGGGCTAAAGATCGCTGAATTTATTTTCATCACACTTCCCTTTTTATCCCTGTTGTAAACATTTTTGCACCCTGTTGTCAGGTTATGAGTAATGTTTGGATTCAGCAAGCTGAGAAGTTCATGGTGGGCTTATTCTAGGGAATCTGAAACGTAGTTGAAGCCTCAGATGCCTCAGACTTGAGGGGAAAATATAGTTTTCTAGTCCGGATCATATTTTAACAACTAATATTCAAGTTTAATGCAAACAATTAAATAATGCTAATCATTTTAAAATTAAAGTAAAAACTATTACCGGAAGATTTTTTTCCTTTTGGAGTTGCACTATGATTGAGATTTTGTTAATTTCCAGTTCAGTCTCATCATATTTAACATTCTGAATATGCAGAACCTAATTTTATTTATTTATATCATTTATTTTTGTGTCTAAATACATGAGTAAATCCTTGATTTACTTTTTTTGTAGGATGTTAAAAAAGAAAAACATTTTTTTAAGTAAAATGTAATTATCTGACTAGGTAAAAATAATTCTAAATACGTTGCAAATTTGAGGAACTGAAACAAATGTTTGCTGAGCTAACAAGTTATTTAGATTTAACTGATGCAGTCAAAAGTAAATTTTGATCTACTGGATGTAAATCCATTATATATTTGGTAATATTGTGAGGCAAAAGAAAAATTGAGGTTAGCTGACTCCTTTAATAAAATCTATTCAGTTTTTCAATCAAAAGTTTTGTCTTTCCTGACGGAACAGGCCCGATTTGCCTGAGTTGTAGATGAGTGGACAAGAAAACCTAAATAAAAACATTGTTGATCAGCAAATGTGTCCTTCAATCCCAGAGAGAATATTTGACTTTTCATTGTAAGTGCAACATTTGAACATATAAATTCATTGTATAAACCTATCAGAATAAAAAGCTGAGAAATTGAATGGATCCAGACAGGTTTTTGTCAACAAAGAGATTGTTTGCTTCCTGCAGGTGAATCCATGCTACAGGAAATGTTTTGCAGTTTGGCAGCAGGGAACATGAGAAACCTTCTTGTTTGTGTATTTAGAATAGTGGATGATTGACTTTCATTTATTTTGGTTAGTAACTGTCAGTACTGCACATGGTCACGTGTTGTTTGCTGAGACAAATGAAGGCGACATGGAAATCATCAGAAAAGAGTTTGAAATCACAGTCAAGACGCCTACATATGTTTGAAGAAGCTGGAAAAATATGGAAATTGGCTTTTGTGATTTTCAACTTTTGATTAAGACAAGAAAGATGTGTGTGGAAAAATGTTTTGGAAATTACTGTTTCCTAAAAGTTGAAATTCCAAATTTCCAAAAACAACTTCCGACATTTTTTTTTTAATTATTATTATTTTAAATTGAAAATCTTCTTTTATGATTTGCCTCGTCAGAGTTTGGATTCAATACTTTAACCCTCAGTGGTTTTGTTTTTCTGTTTCTGGTTGGGAACACAAAAACACCCAATTAAAAAAAATCTTTTTTGACCAGTATTCCACCTTAAATCAGGGTTTTGAACTTGACCTACGGTTCATAGATTGAGAAATTATCAAAGAAAGTTTTGAAATAACTTTTGTTTTCAGGTTTCTCCATTCATACTCTCTCTGTAGGATTAAACGGTGCAATTATTTCAATATTTAATATTTACTTAGCTAGTCAAAGTATAATTTAGACCACTAGAAGTGATCCAGAAGTCAAAAACATAAAGTGTGCTCTCTCATTTTTGCTCTGCTTTGTTCATTGTTCAGGCACCCATGGTGACCTCTGCTTGCATTTTGTTTCTTCTTATGTTAGCTGTACTTATGAGGAGCTTTAGGGTTTCACCCTGTGGCCTGTGGGTGTGACAACAAAGGACATAATGACTTCTGAAAGTACGCGGCTGTAAGCTCTCTGGCTCTTTCAGACATTGCATCTCATGACTCTGTAATAAATCCACACAGCATAAAGTCAGGGACGATAATTCCCTCTTTAGCAAAGCTCCTACAACATACATACTGCAGGAAGGTTGATATCCCCCGTAAATCTGAAAAGTCGACACACCAGACAAGCGTCTGCTCAGATTAGCTTTTTAAAAAGATGACTGCGGACAGCAGAGTATCTCCCCTCAGTAGGTGTTTATTCACGTTTCTGTGTTCCCACTCGCTGAACTGCGAAAGCTGAATCTGTGACAGCTCACATATTGCAGAGTTGCTTAAATAAAAGATTAGCGCTACAGTAAAATCACACCATGTGCAATGATATCCACAAGGACTACAGCCGCCTCACACTCGTAGCGCGCAGTAGTCGCGTTCAAACTTAAAATAACTGCATTAAAATCATCCTCTCCAATGTAGTTTAGTTTATCAGAAAAACTGTCGTCAGAATAATTTATACGATGAAAAATTGAAATCTATAGGTTCGGTGCAGCATGAAGACTGCAGAAATGCTCACTGGAGCTATAACAGAGGCTAAATGGGGTGTGCTTTTTTAAAATAATAAAAAACAATCTGCTCTTTTTTTAAAATCCTGCGGTGGATGAGCAGCCGTGCTCATTCAAAGATTTTATAGTATTGTTCCTAAAATGTTTCCGTCTCTCTCTGGTATCTCTGTTCTCCTCACTTTGTTTCTGCTGCCTGCTTGGGATTTGGAAGAGAGTCACACTGTAGCCTAAAGATAAACATCCCCATTGTGTCTTCATTAGACTGCATGCGTGCGTTTGTGTGTGTGTGTGACGGTGTGTGCAGCTCCGGTAGTTGCATTTGCATTCTTGTCCTTGCTGTGCAACGCATTGCTTAAGTTACACCAAGCTGTGCTGCTGCTGTGCTTGTGTTTATTTTATGACATGCTCCTCTCCAAGTGCACAACTATCTTACCAGCACTAAATGGTTTTATGTGTTTAGATGTTTGAAGGAGGATGTAAGGGCAGTAAAAAGGTTACTCAGTTTCAAAGAGGCCGCATGATAATTACAGACTGTAGTTTCCGATTCAAATAACTCTGTTGTATTATTCAGAATTGTTTCTGTGCTGCTTTCACAACATGGCATGTAAAACATCACAGATGCTTTTCAGTTTAATGCTGTTATGCAATTCAGAGGCTACAAACTCTCTGGATGAATCTCTTATCAACTAAAATAATTAAATGTACTTCTCTGGTTGAATGCAGATGTTGATGCATGTAAACGGTGCTGCTGTCTTGCCAGGTCCTACTTGAAAAATACATTTTTAACTGGTTAAATAAAGGTTATTTATTATTATAGCTCATAAAGTATGTACAGTGGACGCATCAGTGCGAAAGAGGACATTAAGATTCTCCAACAGTGGTAATGTCATTATATTTTACTTGTTATAAAGACACCACTAAATTAGAACTTAGATAACACTGGGCAACAGCCAAAACATCGCCTGGGGTTTTTCAACTCGTTTAGGGTCATTTTCATGTGTGGAATCCAAAAATCACATTGGTTTTGCTCAATCAGGTCAACTTTCTGGACTATGGATGCAACATGAGCATCAAAACGCATGACTTGTTCTCACATATGGATCGGTTTCCTGAGAATCTGGGATCAATGAGCGAAGAGCAGCGGGAGAAAGTCCGTCAGAAAAGGAGAATTTTGCACAATGAAGATGTAATGTTCAATTTACATGTACTGAACCTTATCAGTGTTTATTATTCAATTTACAGAAATCCAAGTTTGTAATTTGTAATTAATGCACATTTTTTTCCTCCTAAAACCTTTTCTGGATGATTGAAATAATAGATGTCATTTTTGGATTCAGCGGTGCAAAAAAAAAAAGAAAAAAAAAAGAAAAAGAAAAACACAGACAACTTCCAAGGAATATTTTTGTAACAATATGGTTGCACAGATTTGTATTTAAGGATATGAGATTAAATGGGGTCACATTGTTTAGATTTTTGAATTATTTCCCCTCCGCTTAGCACAATTACACATCATTATTCTGTTCTGTTGCATAAAATTTCAGTAAAATAGACTGAAGTTTTGAGCTTAATGCAGAGGTGTCAAAACTTTTTGCCATGTAGGCTTTGTAGTAAAAGTTTTTTACATTTTTATCATTGTCACAATGACAATGAGGAATTGTAATAATGTGTGAACACATGAAAGCATATAAAATGAAATCAAAAAGGAGTGTGGGAACAGTTCTGAAAGAACGCTATTTCCCACATCTGCATTTTAATGCAGTTTTAATTAAAAGCGAGCCTTCAGAGGCCGGGTTTTATGGTGATTTCTGACCAACTGAGAGGTGATATTATGCAGAGGGAATCGCACCACTCTGCCAAGCAGGATTGTTTTAAGCTGAGACTCTGTGGTCATTAATATGACAAATCAGCTGCAGCAGGAGAGCTGTGACTGTAATGCTACCACAGAGGTGTGATAATGCTATACGTTTCTCGCATTTAATAACTCTGATTGATATGAATGAGCCGCTGCAATCCCTTTCCAACTCTGTTTAATTCATTCTCTTTCTGAGGTTGGTATTGCTATATTTTAGGTTTTAGCACACTCTGTGGTGTTGGACATTAAGCATTCAATTAGCACTGTAACAGGAGCCTGAGGGCCGACGAGTTTTTGTCTGGGGGAGACAGAGATGTGGGAGTCGTATCAATTAAATACATACTTTTTAATTAAACATAAAATCATTACTTGATTCCATTATTCATCATTTCTTATTCAGAAATTAGCTCCTGGGTGAGATGTTATTTAGCTTCTCTTTTTTTCCCTCCCACTATAAACAAGGATTGGGCAAAAGATTAAAACCACTTTCTGGAGCAACATAAAGAATCTGCACATTTTCCCTGAATTGAGTTAGTTAGCTTCTGTCCTCAACACTGTTTTCTCTTGGCTTAATTTTCAATGCTGCATCTGTAGCTGGACGATATGGTTTCATACTTATCAATATTGATAATTATTAGCTTATTTAGAATATCTGAAGTACTGCCAAACTAGTGGCGTGACCTTTCCTGTTTTATCCACTGCTTTTACTCCCTTTAGTCATTCTGATCTGAAAATGCAAAGCGTGAGACAGTAAGTACCATGCGGCCCTGATAGGGGGCAGTGCTGAGCCCCGTAGGCACAGTGGGTAACAGGCGCTCTTCTTCTACACATTAAAAAACTGAAAACAAATCAGTCACAATAGAAAGACCCCTACTGTAGGTTTTGCAAAGAGCATCCAGAAACAGTTATTTAACTGGAACTATCGTGTCTAAAGAAATTTTTTTAAATAATAAAACTTTTGAAAACGGAGTATCAACATGACAAATTATAAAGTTTGACCATGTTGACCATGTTATTTTTTTTCTTTTCATGGAAAGAATACAGGGTTTCCCCCAGAAAACTTGCTAAGCCCTGTGGTTGGGGCGCTTGGCAGTCGTTCATCCAGCGGCCCGTCGTGTTTTTGAGTTAAAAAATATTTAAAGTTGACAGGAAACTTGAAGATGTCACTTGAAAATTATGTTATTAGAAGACTAGTGTCTGAACACCAACTATAAAGTCTTAAAATGCAAACATAAAAAAAAGAAACTTATTTAAGCAATGCTTGTCCTGGTGGGGGCACAAGTGAAGCCTGGTAGCCCGCCAGGCTTATAATACACTGGGGGAAACCCTGGAGTATATGAATGCAGACAGATGACTGGCAATTAATCTAATTCTTATATTTGGCAAATTTCATATTCACAAATGTAAATTTTCATCATCTTCACCCTTTTGTTTTTTTAGTTTAGCTACTCAGACTATATTTAGCCACTATTCCCAAGAGATGCCAACACATATGACTGGAAAAGTCTTCGTTCTGTTTTTTTTCTTCTTTTTAACAATGTATTTACTGTAGAAGGCTTCATTTCACATTTTGAGTTCCGTTCCTCATTTTTTGTATTTGTAAAAAAATAAAATAATAATAATTAAAAAAAACAAAATAGTCAGAATGGAATGGAACTGATTCATAAGCCTTTTTTATCTCTTCTCTTGTATGTTTTCTTTAATGGAGGCTGAAGTTTAGGTGCTTGGGTTCAGTTCAAAGCTTAAACATTTTCTTAATTTCCAGAAAATGCATGAAAGAAAATTTACATAACATAATCATCTAGTATCATAAATAAAAGGAAGTTTATAAATCTTTAATGATGTTTATTGTTTTTTTTTATGTGATAGAAAACCAAAAAGTAACTCATAATGGTGAAGCTTAAGGACAATTAATTAGTTCTGACAGCTTTTTGTGAGTAAAAATCCTCCAAGTATGGCAACGATTTGTAATCCATCCTCGTCTATGCTGATACCCCAAAGTCCATTGCAACAAATTACCTTCGTCTAATGAGTAGAAAGCCCATCTATAAGTTTTGTGAAGGACTGAGAGGTTTGTTAGAGAACAAGCAGCTTCATGAAAACCAAGAAGCAGCTGGTATGAAATAAGATTGCTTGAAAAAATGCTACATGTGGTGCTAGCATCATGCTGTGGGGAAGCTTTTGTTCAGCAGGGATGATCAGAGCTGGTGGGGGGGATTGAATGTTGCTGAAAACGGGAGAATAATGGAGAAAAACCAGATGGAGACAGTAAAACATTTCTAAATCCAGCACTGGATTTAACCAGTTGCCTTCAGAAATCACTTAATTAGTAAATATTAGTGGTGGGATTTGATTAAATTATTTAATCAAATTAATTGCTGGGGCTTTAATTCATTAATTTAAATGAATCGTATTGTAATTGAAAGCTAAATATTGCCAAAATGAACATTTTCAATTCAAAAAGCGTTTTTGCTGCTAAATTATTAAATAAAAAACCCCATATGAGCTCAACAACAAAGATATTTACTGATTTTAATCAGTTGTTTGTGGATGTGGTTTAGTGGTGGAACTCAATTAACATATGGATGATCCAGAAACATGTAAATACAAACGTTCTGGCTCTGGACCTTAGCATATATTAAGATTAATTATACAAGTTTTATGTAATTAAATTAACTCGTTAAAGTTCCCTCCCTCTTAAATAGTTGAGGGTTTTTTCCAGGGTGAAAATATTTAAGTCTTCTTTGTCACTTAGCCTGTGACAAATAAGACTGTTTCAAGTCCAGCGACTAAATTTTTTATTTGTGTAATATTATGCTAAGAATAAAAACAGAAACATGTTTGGTTTTTTTTATACTTGTTCTGGAGCTGGAAATTAATGACCTGAGGTTCTGCCAGATGTGCTAAAACTGCGGTTGATGACGGTCTGAGAACATTTCTGACGCTGCGGATCGCCTCACCTCATTGATCTTTAGGACGGCTTTTGTTGCTCGGCATCATTAACGGTTAATTACTGTTCAGCTCAGGAGTTTGTGGCCGTTCTCAGGCCTCCCGGTGCCTCCGATGCAAACACAAATCGAAGTTGGCTCAGTTCTTGGCTGCCTCTCTCCACCCATTGTGTGATTGTGCTGATCTCTCACAAAGCCCAGCCTGATCCCGGCCTGGAGCGCAGCCTTGCTTTCAGAGACCACCCTCCGCTCAAAAGGCTCAAGGACCGCTGAAAACACACCGTGAATGAAATTCACCGGCTACTGAATATAAAAGTGTTATTCACTGAAAACAGAAAGCATTAATCTTTTGCCATCGTTTACGACGTTTAGCTAGTGGTTGTATTATTTCCTTTTTGTAGCAAACACCCTGGTTTGTATTTTCTGTTATTTAATCTGTTTCTTAATCTGTTGCAAGGGATTAAAAAGCTCCATCGCACTTATTTCTTAAGGATGCAAAGGATTAAAATAATCATATGAAATTCTTTTTACTTCAATTTAATGTTTTACCTCCCTGCTGATTCATAAGGGTTATATAATTTGCTGATTTTTGCCTCTCACTTTCTTCCAGTATTTTCTTTATGAATATACTCTATATATTTTAAGTGTTACATATGCATGGTATTTTAACTTGCTGCAAAAGCAGCTGTCCTCTGGGGACTTACAACTAAAGTTGGGATGGATACTGAGATGGGTAGTGGTTGATTTTTATATTTAATATTAGTTGTTGGCAGCAGAATCTGAGGGTTCTGTTTTATTTGGCTTAGTTTGAGAGGGAGAATGGGGTTTTTCTGCATTTTCCTACATTCGGATCGCAGATTTTAATGTGTTTTATTTGGATTTTATAGGAATGTGGTGCATTAATTTTGAAATTAAAGACAAATGGGATCTGAGAGGTAACATAATAATAATAATAGTAATAATTTTGTTCTCCAGGCGGAAGCTATCGGACAAAAACTTCCCTCAAGCTCGTTCAGCTTCACCTCTAACCAGTGCATCCTCTACGCGCTGGGAGTCGGCATGTCCACCAGAGATCCAGACAGCCTCAGGTTTGCTTCTGCTTTTCGTTTGTGTGCCAGAAAACTAGCAAATTGTTGTGAGAACCCCAAAAGTTTTGACTGTTCAAAGACAGTCATCCCTGAGTCTGACCAAATGTTTAAGTTTTTAATTCAAAGAAAGTTACACAAAAGAAAAAATCTCTAAAAAATGTTTTTGTTACATTTTCTGGCATTTACCAAATAGAAATAGTTTTTGTAATTCTAACTGTCCTAAAACAAGAGAAGTTTGGTGAGATTTATCTTCAGACAGTGAAGGCAGGCATTTAATTTTTAGCAAGAAGGTAATTGTAATAAGATTAACAATAATAATAATACAGTGTTTACCCACGATTTGTTTGGATTATTTCAGTGTAATGAATAGTTATTATTAAAAATGGTAAAATTGGTTACTATCGTGTTTAACTGGTACAAAAGGTTGAAATTTGGGGATTTTTTTCTTCTTGGGCCCTCTATGTGTTGCTATACTTTAGTTTACCTTGTCCCTATTATTAGTAGGAGTAATAAATGATATCATATAATGCTGAACTGAAACTGTCTTGTTCATTTGTGGTGCTTTCATGCTTGAACTTTACTGTGCATGAACCCTGCTTGCTTCATTGTCATGCATGTTCTGCCATCTGTGCAACCGTTTCTGTCTTGGTGCGCTTCTTCACACTTCACCGACACTTTGCATCCTAACGTAGGTTCCTGTACGAAGGGCATCAAGACTTCAGCTGCCTCCCCACGTTCGGGGTCATCCCCTCGCAGGCCGCCACGATGGGCGGCGGCCTCAGCTCCGTCCCTGGACTCAGCATAGACTTCACACAGGTCAGGAAACGTGCAGATTACTCTCCAGGATGTCCGCCTGTGCCGTCTTGCACATGTCTAAGTGTATACACAACTTTGCTGTTTGTAAATATGTTGATGCAGATTTATGTCCATATGGGATATTTCACACAGCCTTGCACACAGAAGAAGAGTAAATAGTTCGCTGCTAATGCTAATGAGGCTGCGGGACTTTCTGGTGAATGTGTGTCACAGCTGTTGTGTTGTTTCAGGTTTTGCATGGAGAGCAGTATCTGGAGCTTTACAAACCTCTGCCTACTTCAGGTATTTACCCCTTGATACTGCGCAGTGGTAAATTAGGGTTGTGGTTCATCATGAAAGGAAGTAAACGCTCTTTCAGTGTCATTTACTCAGGCTTAATGAAATATTATTCTCTTGGATATTTTAAATAATAAGCACTTAGTTCTTTTACATTTTGCTGGTTGATAAATTCTCCCACAAATTATTGCGATAAACAATAAAATTGTTGTTTTAAGACTATTTTTAAGTCGTAGCATTAATCATTATTTTTTTAAACGCTTTATATTGGAACTGGATAATATTTAAATATCGAAATTGTGTGTATTTTTTATTTATTTTTTTGTATTTTACAGCCTAAAATTCTATTACTACTTAATAAATACAATGTATTCATATTAATTTGACATGCTTTCTGTTTGATTTCTCAGATAACATCCTAGTTTCGACTTACTGACTGACTGAAAACATATAAAGAAATAAAAAAGGGTTGTTTTATTGCCTGTTTGGTCTCTTGAACTAGGCCTAAAATATTTTTTGATATTTTGGTTTGAAACCCAGAAGCTTGTTGTTGCTGTTTTTGTTGCTATATTTTTCCTCAGAAACTCTTGTAATCACATTTCTGTTTATGCTCAGTAGTTGGATTTTAAAGAGTTTTACCAGCTGTGACTCTGTTTTTTTTACATTTCAAACGACTGTAGCCCAACAGCTGCATGCATCAGTATTTCTTTTTATCCAGAATATTTTAGCAGACAGATGAGATGGGTGGAAAATAATGCCACTCTGTCAGTTTTTCCAATCGATTAATCGCTCTGATAATCGATTTTCTTGCAGAAATCAACAAGCATCTTGTAAATTTAACATTGACTGGTTCTCTTTTGAATCAAGATGTTGCAGAATTGCAAATGTTTTCATGTTAAGCGTTTAATTGTCCCTCCAGGCACCCTTACCTCTGAGACCACAGTCGCAGACGTCCTGGACAAAGGATCCGGAGCCGTCATCCTGCTGGACGGTGGGTTTGGATTGACCTTTTAACAGCGCAGAGTTTCCATCATACAGCGTATTTATTCAAAATCCATTTGTTTTCTTCAGTTTAATGTATTTTTTGGCCTCACAGGTCCCTCTCAGGCTGAATTAATGAAAGTTAATTTACAGTCTGTGTCTGCAGGGGCCAGAATAACAGACTGTGAATGGCTCATACTTTTTGTGTGGCAATTCCTCAGAGATGAATGCTATTTAAAACCACTCTGATCTATAATTAATCCATCTTAAACCAGGAAACTGGGGGACCTGGGGTTTTTTTCTGTGTGTTGACTCGGGAGAATGTCAATGAAATGTCCTCGCTCACATTAAACCTGTTAGCTGTGGTGAAAAGAGAAGTTATGCTGGGGTTAGTTTGCATGCTGCAGTGACATCATGTCTGTTTTCTTTCTACTTGACAAGTATGCAGAAATTTGTTTTGGTTTATCATGTAAAATGCCAGCATTTGCTCTGTTTTGCAGCGAACACCTACAACGGCGACGAACTCGTGTGCTACAACCAGTTCTCAGTGTTTGTGGTTGGAGCTGGACGCTTCGGAGGAAAGAGGAGCTCAGACAAAGCTAAAGTATGTCAGAGCTTGTTGCTGAGTGTTTGCTTAGGAGTCATAAAAAGGCTTTTCTGATTGAAACAACTAATTAGTGGACTGGGAAGCAAAGAGCTTGTTGAAATGTCCCAGTTTGTTTGAATGTGAAGAGCTCTGAAATACAAATGACAAATTATTGAAGCTTTTTAAAAAAATAAGATGGCAAAAAAATGAATATTTCATCAAGTAAAGGGAAGAAAAACAACTCAAAGATCCTCGTCTAAACCCTACCTACTGTAAACAAAATATATATATATATGTATTACAGCTGTTATAAAGAAATTTCCAGATCTGAGTTGGATAAAGTTGAAAACATCCTTTGAAATTAAAACTTTATCCAAAGAAGAAATATGGTAATATCTTTGTCAGTAGATAATCAGAAGTTTCAGTGATTAGCGAGACACCTTGGAGCAGCATGTGCCAGAATACGCTGCCATATTTAATACCCTTCACACTCGTTAAATTAATCTTTTACTGCAGCAGCACAATTTTATGCAGAAAACTGTATGTTTCCACTAAACAGGCTGCAGAGGAAATAGTTATGCTACTCATGTCTGCATCTTAATGTTAGTAAAACTGTAGATATTTTCTTTTGGTCTTAAGTGGAGATTCTGACACTTCATAAACTACTTTTAAAAGGTATCACGTATTTTCCAGGCATGCCGTGGCGTTTTATACCACTTTTTTAAAAATGGTTTTAACCTTAAGTTTTTATAAAAATTCTGTACATCTCAAAGATGACTTAAAAGAGATTTTACTTTGCAATTTAATGCTTTGAAAATGCGATAAATGTGACTTTTTATTACTCACTGTATAGAACTTGGATTATAATCTGACATCCATTAAAGCTGAGGCAGCTGTTCAGAACAAGTAAGAAGGTTTTTGGCAATTTTGGAGAAAAATCTGCAATAAATTCCCAATTATTTATTAGTGCAAAAAAGTGTGGGGATTTGTTGATTTTGTGTGAATTTCCAAGGTAATTTTCAAAAAACTTTAGGGACGGTTTGATATAATTTGGAGGTAAACGGATAAAAACTGCAATGATTTGATTGATAAAATAATATTTAAGAAACTGTTTAGTCTGGATCCTAGAGGGCATTATAAAAAGCCACGGCAGGCCGGATTTGACGCAAGTTCACATACGCTCATTGTGGGCACAAATATCATGAATATCCAAAAGATGCATCTATGATTCACCCGTTTCCACTTATTAAACGTTAAAAATTAGAAAAATGTTGCTGGAATCAAATCACACTTCTTTCTCCACATTTGTGTGTCTCTACTATTCTCTGCTGTCTATGTGGATTTTACACTCGATTATTTACCCTTTACAGCATCCCGGTTTTTTCACACACACACACACACACACCCACACACACACACACACACACACACACACACACACACACACACATATATAACTTGAGAAAACTGTTACGAATCCTCCATCATGTTTAACAGTTTTTTTGGGTTTTTTTTGTTTCGTTTAAATTTCCCCCAGGCTCCTCTGCCTCCACCCAAGCGCGCACCAGATGCTGTGGTGATTGAATCAACCACAGGAGACCAAGTGAGTGCGTCTGTGTGGGTTTTGCTGCAGAATAAATCAGCCGAATTGATGATGCAAGGGTGAAAATAGAACATGTTGGGTTTTCTTTTTACTCCTCTCTGCAATGATCATTAAGTTCGAGTCGGAGTATGTGTGGCGACGGAGAGTTTGAGCGCGGGTTTTCGTTCTGTCAGAGAAGAGAAATTTGCTGACTGCAAGATGCCGTGTGAAAGCAATGAAAAGAAAAAGAGAAATCCCCCAAGCATTTTCAAATGACTGCATCTGTATCACTTCAAAGGCATTCTTATTTTAGGTGTCTTTATGATAATTAAATTTTATCCCACATGAAGTTATGAATAAGATATAAATCTAAACAATGTCTGCTCCCCCGGCGGTTGCAGGCCGCCTTGTACCGTCTGAGCGGAGACTGGAACCCTCTGCACATAGACCCCGGCTTCGCCGCCATGGGAGGTGAGAGCAGAACAAGACGAACCGCTGTTCGTTCCGGACTCCCTGTCTTCTTTTGTTTTGTTTTTTTTGTTTTTTTTCCTTCTTTCTCAAATGATGTTACCACCATCTCATTTATTCTTGCTCATGCTGTGTTTAAAAATGCTACTGGGTCAGGCTTCAGGGCTCCCATCCTGCATGGCTTGTGTTCGTTCGGCTTCGCTGCGAGACACGTCCTCAAGCGCTTCGCCAACAACGACCCGGCGAAGTTCAAGGCCATAAAGGTGAGCGTTGCCTCTCTGGGGTTTCAGATCAAATGTCTACATTGCTGCTTTCGTATGCTGCAAAGAATTGTCACTTAGTTTCCACATGAGATTTGATGAAGCTGTTGAGAGTAGCTCTGTTTTCACCTGCAGGTTTATTACAGCACTGACTTGTTGCAAATGAAACAAAATATGGCCATAAGGTAGAGATAGGAAGATGAACGTAGCTAAAAGCAGGAGAGTCCTGGAGGAATATCTGTTCACACTGCAGCCTGAAGTGAAGTGAATTACAATTGTTTTTTTTTCGCCTTAATGCGACCTGCATCTGATTTTTTTTCGTCCATGTAATCCTGTAGTTATGTGTCCCCTCCCTTCTCGCTGCTCTTTCAGGTCCGCTTTGCGAGGCCCGTGTTTCCGGGTCAGTCGCTGCAAACCGAGATGTGGAAGGAGGGCAGCCGGATCCACATCCAGTGTAAAGTGAGTTTCTCTCTCTTCTTTTATTTTTTTTTCTTCTTCTTCAGCAGCAGTGAGGATTACACCCTCATCACGAGCTGCGGTGAAGAGATGAGCCCGAGCCGCCTGTTCTTCTGACGAGCTCTCGTCTCTTTCATGCAGGTGAAGGAGACGGGTGATGTCGCTCTGGCTGGGGGCTACGTGGATTTGCACGGCACATCAGAAGCTTCTCCTGAAATTCTCCCTCAGGTACATGAAGTCTGGGAACGAAAAAAAAAAAAAAATAAATAAATAAAACTACCCTCACTGTCAATTATTCCACTGTAATTCGTTTTATTACTTTCTATTTTTGGTGGCCTCATTTCTTTCCATTGTCAAAGGGGGTGGACAGCGGCGGTCACGGTGGCCTTTTTATTCAGCAAAAAAAAAAAAATCTTAATGTCGCCTCGTTCATTTAGGGGCATCAAAGTGAGCAAATGAAGCTCAGTTCAGATTTTATTGAGATAAAAACCTGAACCACCGAGATTCATCCTGTGATTGCAGGGGAAAGTAGATTTCTGCTTGGATTTTATGTTATGCAACATAATGAGGAGCTCGAACTCAGAAAATGTTGTTTTACAGATTGCAGAAAGAGTTTTCACAGGTTGTTTGATGTGTGCATTTTCCCTCCTCGGGCCTCCCACCACTCTGCACCTTTGATTCAGACAAAACGGGTGTATATTTTCTGCCTTTTCTCTGCTCCTGCTGCAGGGAGGAGGCCTTCAGAGCGACCTGGTGTTTGCAGAGATCGGGCGGCGCGTTAAAGATCTGGGCTCAGAGCTGGTCAAGAAGGTGAACGCCGTGTTCGGCTGGGAGATCACCAAGGCCGGCGAGAAAGCTGCAGAGTGGAGTAAGTTGCATGAACACAAACGTTTTCATTATTACCGTTCAGCAACAACTTTTATTTCTGTTAGAAAACTAGATGGGCAACACTTAAAAAATAATATAAGAATAAATGTACAAATATACATATTTTCTGTTTTATTTTCATTGGAGTAAAAAAATTCCCTCAATAATCAATGGAGAAAAAAAAAAAATCTAACTCTTCTTGTTCTGCTGAACAACTTTTTGCATCATTATTTCTACCAGAGCTGTATAATCGACTTTTTCACGGCAGTCCTAAATACGATCTTTTTCAAATTTCAGCCGCTTCTCATTCAGACGCGTATCTGATTGTTTTCAAAGCGTCTGCAGTCTGAACGTTCGTGTCGCATTTTATCTGGCTTTTACGTCATTCTTGTGAATGAGTCTGTAATTGAAGCACATCACATCACAATCCCACCACCGCTGGTTTTAACTACGTATCCAAACTGATTTTTCTACAGGAGTTGCTCCACAAAACACTGTTTCTATTAGTTGTGCTTTCTTTTTGCTAGTTCTCATCGTCTTATGATCTTGTGACGATACTTTTGGCTCCCGTTGTTGAATAAACTATAAAATCGATCCATAAACGGCTCCTTCCGTTACTGCTCCCATAAACAAAACGCTGCTGTTTGACATTAACGTTCCTCTATTTGGGGTCGTAAACTGTCTCATTACGGTCGCATTGAATTAGTTTGAACTACATTACAAAAAAAAAAAAACATTGGATTTTAGCAAAAAATAGAGACCTGCTGTGTGAACGCAGCCTGGGAGAAAACTGAGAGGAGCTGTGTATTACAAGAGGAGTTCTGGAGTGAGACAGCAGTGAGGTGTGCTGCAGGTTCAAGGTGGAGGTGGGAGTGAATCAAGGATCGGCTCTAAGCCGCGTCCCGTTTGCTTTGCTAGCAGGACGAGCTAGGAGACGAGGTTAGAGAGGATTGGTCGTGGACTACGATGTTTGCAGATGACTCTGTGATGTAAGAGAGGACAGGAAGTTGTTTGGTGTGAGAGTAGAGGACGCATCGGATTGGACTAAATGGAGACGGATGTGAACAAAAGAGAACCGAGATTAAAAATGTCACTTTTTGATCCAAGTTAAGCTGATTTCACTGATGTAAAACCAGATTTAGTTTAAATACTGTGCTGGAATTTGAAGCCGAAAACGAGTCGACGGAAAGTGGATCTTTTTGTTTTCTAATCCGTCTTCTTGTCTGTGTCTGCCTCCGCTCCCTCTGCAGCCATTGATCTGAAGAACGGCAGCGGCTCTGTGCTCAGAGGGCCGCCCGGCGGGAAGGTCGACGTGACCTTCACTCTGTCAGACGAGGACTTCATGGAGGTGGTGACGGGGAAGCTTCAGCCTCAGAAGGTAACGTCTTTGAAGCTCTGCGTCTGGGAAACTTCCGCCTCCCATTTCAAACGGCCGCTGCGACGGCGAACCACTTCCTGTACATTCTGATTACGGGGAAAGTTCCTTTGAGGCTCCCCTTCGATCCATAACGACGTCCTGCTTGATCTCGTCTCGTCAGATAAAATTTGGACGCGGCGATCTCTCGGAGAGCCCTCAGCGCAGACAATCAATCGCCGCTGCTTGTTACGTCTGTGGCATCCCATCTGTCGGTGGGAGTGGCCGTCGCCACGCTGAATTCATGCGCTTCCTGGAGCTCTGCTTATTGATCTTGGGCCGCCTGCGTTCGTCTTTATAGAAAGTCGGCGGGCTGGAGATCCCTCGGGCGGGTCTTCTCCTCTCTCTGCGGTGATGAAAGGAGCAGCTGGGGGAAGATTAGCTGACGGAGTTGAAAGAGGAGCTGCTAACTGTCTTCCAGGGTCGTCATAACCCCGTCGTTGGATTGATTTCATCCGAGCAGAGCAAAGAAAATCCTCATCAGAGGCTCGGTTAGCTTTCTTCTGCGCAGGGATCATCTTTGTCTCCTTTCATCTTAATTTCCTGAACGCCGCTCCGCGCTCTCATGACAAATGCTGCAAAATAAACGATTGTTTTTCTTGTTAGGCCTTCTTCTCCGGCAAGCTGAAGGTAAGAGGGAACATCATGCTGAGTCAGAAGCTGGAGGTCATCCTGAAAGACTACGCCAAGCTGTGAGCGCCGCCGCCGCCAACCAATCAGACGGCTTCAGGAACCCGACCACATCGACTCCCTCCTGCTTTGTGTTTGGTGACCATTTCTTGGCTCTCTAAGGAAATTCATTAAAAAAAAAAAAAAAATTACCCACTGAGACATTTCAGGAATGAATTTATCTCCATTGAATTAATTTAAGGACTCCCAAACTGCCTAATCCAAGCATCAGGTGGGGAAATGTTTTGGTTCAATCACATCTTTAGCTGCTCAAGTCCCTTCAGAATATTTAATTAACCACAATTTTCATGAATGTTTATTCACATTTTAATAACGCACAAGTTGAATTTATTAACGTTTCAGTTAAACTGAAATAATCAAAGTCTAGAGCAGCTTTTATGATTTATATTCTCTTTTCATGACTAATTTACCAAAGTCAGAGGCAGTTTGATGTGTCTGATGCTCTAATCAGCTCAGTTTATACTAATGTAAACTTTTACTGTATTTCAACTTTATTTGTGCAATTTAATGCAAAGTAACATTTGCTCTTGTAAAATAAATTGTGACTCTAATTAAAGCCTTAATGTGTTATCTCACATTTCTCTTCTGTTTATTTATACAACACCATTTAAGAAGCCTGAGCTGAAGGTTTCAGACACAAACGGAGCAGAAATCGATCCAAAATGATCTAAACTCCAGTTTCGTCCTAGTAGAAAAACGACGGGGTGACGTTTGATCACTGGCTTTGCAGTGAACTCACATGAGCGAGCATGTGGCGACTGGGAAGGACAATGAACCGGCGTCTTAATCTGTACGTCACAGCATCGAGTTTGAGACCCAGACAGCTCTGGCAGCAATAGCTCTTAGTTACTTAATAAGCTGTTTATGTAATACATTGATTTTGTATGACATAATGACACTACAATTACCACTGACATTGTTTTATCTATTTTTCTTACATTAGAAATTATGCATTTTTATTCCCATTTTCCAAAAACTTCAACATTCCCCAGACGGAAACGCATCTGTCTTCTTTTCTGGGAAAGTTTAGTTTTGATTTAAAACCCGAAACACAGAAATGAAATTGGGTTCTTTAGAAGTTTGAAAAATAAATCTGAACCAAATCCTGTTCAGCTGGACTGAAGGCAGGCATGGCTGCTGGGACTGTAAAGGTTGCAGTGAATCCTCTGCAGTGAAACATTTATTACTGACACTAATAATAACATTTAGTAAGTTATTGGCAGCAGCCGTAGCTCAGTCGACGAGCTTCAGCAAGTTTTCACAGCTAAACAGAAACTTTGGAACAGATATAACTTCCACAAAAAAGGAAATAAAAGGGAGAAAATAAGGCATTAACTTCTATCTGGAGAGTAGTAGGAAAAAGTAGCAGTTTGTCTTCCAGCAGCAATAGATTTTCCTGAGTTTCTCCAACTATGAGTTTTATCAAAAAGGAAAGTTTTAAGTCTTAAAAGTAGAGCTTTTTATTTCAGCGTGGAAGCGGTAGTTTTGGTTTGTAAGTAAAGTAAAAATAATTACCACACAGGAATGGCTGCACTTAGTGTTGCAACTATTCTGATTAATAATATACAGATGTTAATTTTATATATATATATATATATATATAGCAAAAAAATATTTTTTTTTCCTAAAATGCAATAACATTCCTTAAATGAATTAGAAGCAGGTAAAGGTAAAACATTTACAGATGTTTATATCTTAAATGCAAATTGTAGATTTTGTACTGTTCTGACTATTCTGCTGCTCAGAATGTTTTTTCAGCAAATGGCCTCTTTTTGAGCCTGTATACTCCATTTAATGATTAATTGATTACTAAACCACCTAATACTTCAATTAATCGTTTCAGCCCCAGCTGCATTAAATGTTACATTTTAACTCAACGTTCTTCAATCAAGTCTTTTATTTCGCAGAGGAGTGTTTAACAATTCCTCCTCTACTTTTGGCTGATATTATTCTGGAAAGAATGGATTGTTTGTTGCCAAGGTAACATCACCATAGCAACATCGTGTCAAAGTGGCCACTGTGGATTGGGCCATAAGGCAGTTTGTTACCATGGAGACGCAGGCTGGTGGAGAATCGTTGCTGTCCTTGAAGAAAACAAAAATTTCTTGCCGTATTTTTAATCCACCACCAGAAAAAAAAACGAACAAAAAAAAACCATTACCGATTCGTCTGCAAACCCAGAAGTTACATTAATCAAGTGACCAAAAGTGTTAACACCATGTTTCTCTCCAAGTGGAAAAGTGACATAAATGGAGCCAACTTATTGCGAGCTCAATGAGCCAAAAAAAGAAAGAAACTGTGTCGATATAAAGTGTCAAAGCTAGAGAGGCGAGACGTTGGTGTCAGTTTTAAGCAGGTGTTTCCATAAAGATAAATGAAGAGCATTATGTTGGATGAGAGCAGGTCTACATGTTAATGTGACTCACAGCCGTTTACTAATAAATTAAAGCTGATAAGATGTCAGTTTGCATGAACTCACTCCTTATATGGTCACAGATCATTACTCCAATTCAGTTCCTGTTAAAATTGCTTCATATATATATATAAAAAAAAATAAAAAGACAGCTTTCTTTTCTGGTTTCACATTTTTCCTTTATTACACCAGTAGATTTCTGTATATAATTCAATGATTTACATTAGAAAATTAGACTTATTTAATCAAGTTCACATTTGGAAGATTAAAAGAGGAGAGAAGAAACAAATCATTTCAATTCAATTCAGGCCAGCGACGTTTGTTTGATCGTCTTTGTGCAGCAGCTGCAACCTGAAGCAAAACACTGTTAAACTGCAGGACTTTAAAGAAATGAGCAATGATCTGTTCTTTTTTTTTTTTTTTTTTAAATCTGTTTATTGTCCAGTTTCTGGAAAAATACACTCAGCTGGCTACAATAAAACTGACCATTCTCTCCAAGCTGCTGCAGAGCATTTTCCAAACACTCAGATTTGCAGAGAAAAAAAAAAGAAAAAAAAAAAGAGGAAAATACAAGCTGAATTTGCAGTTTGATCAGTTTATACTCCTAAACATGAACATATTTCATAAATATACCCATCTGTACAGAATAATCTTCATAAAGTGGCTTTTATTGTCACCCATCGTTTGTCTAAGACTAATCGAGATTAAAATAAACTTGTGTATCTATATATGTACAGAACTGCATGAAACGTGTTTCATCTAAATGTTTTCCTAAGATCAGGTATATCCGATACAAGTTTTAAGGGTTTTAATCAGAATTATATCAAGATGATATCACTGGAGCTGCACTGATCAGTTGGGCAAAAGCTGCAGGAATTCAACTAATGCATCAAAACTAGAAACTCCCAGCATGAATTCTGGTGCACTTTTTTTTTTGGAGTGTATTAAAAATCTGATAAATATTAGACGATATATGTTCGAATTGGGGAAAAAAAAAAAAAAAAAAAAAAATTTTTTTTGTTTAAAAAAAAGAGACCCTCGGCAACATTTTTCTCATTATTTAAATATCTTGGGAGA